CCTTCTTAGCTCGACTATCAAATGAATCTGTGGCTTTGTTATTCTTCGTAATTTTTCAATCAATTCATCAAAATTATCGCTTAATTTGCTCGAATGCAGATTAATTGATATTATATTGTTATGTATTGATATTGATCCTTGAACGGACGAGGAGGAAAAAACTCCTCTCACAAATAGCAGAATCGTGATGATATTAATAATCATCATGTCGCGATGTCGCGAGACTGAAGTGAATTGCGCGTTTGCGTGATGATTTTATCGGGTTGCACCGGATGACGATATCATCTTCTATTCGCCATATTGTGATCTCGCAAAAATCGCCCAGTGGTGCCTAAGAAGATTATTTTTCGGTTTTTGAATTATTTCAGAGAATAGAATCGATTACTTTTTCTATATCTAAATTCAAGATTTATATATGCAAAGATACATATTTGAGATATACTTAGAATATATTACAAAAAGCGTATTACGGAGATTATATAAGTATTTAATCACATCTGATGAAACATCTGATGAATAAATATGAATAAATACAATTCTCCAGTTATGACTTTCAATGATCTAAATTTCCATATATTTACATTGATGTATATCGCTGCCACATAGATATTTACATTGTATCTTTCCTACACAAATTTTAGAAAATGGAAGTTTTGTTCGCCTAGGCACCACTGTGCGTTATTAGTAGGTGATCGCTAATTGCTTTCGCCAACGAGTGATCGTCTGCGCAAATTTAATGATCGAAACCGTGAGATTGTGACCGGCGCTTTATTAACGAATCGCACTTGCCACCCATTCAAACTGATTACAATCCCTCGAGGGAAACAATAAACGCTATTGTTCTTCGATGAAGTGCAAATATGGACAGATAAGTACGCAGATAAGTCGGAATTTCAAAGGAGAAATCCATATCGGAAAGCGATTACGGGCTGTTTACTGCGAGGGATTAAAGGAATTCGCGTTTAAAATAACATTAACTGCGCTAACGAAAGTAAAAGTTTTTCTCTTAAAGATACGGGCTATTAGGAGCCAGCGGATGCGGCAAGACCACCCTGTTGTCCTGCATCGTCGGTGTTCGATATCTCAACAGCGGAGAGATATGGGTCTTGGGGGGAACTCCTGGCAACAAGGACTCCGGGATCCCTGGGCCTCGAGTGGGTTACATGCCGCAGGACATCTCCTTGGTCGGGGAATTTACCGTGAACAGTGCCCTTTATTACTTCGGCAGAATCAACGGGCTCAGCGACGAAGAGATTGGTAGGACATGGAATAAATACTGGCAAATGTCTCTCAGACAGTTTCAATTTCTGTTTTAAGTTTGTTTGCGAAAAATGTGCGGAAGGCAGTGTATGTTATTTTTCGAAACCTCTTCAGCTTTCGCGTATTATTTTTAAGACACGAGACAGGGGTTCCTTTCGGAGTTGCTGCAACTACCCCCGACAAATCGCCTGATAAAGAACATGAGTGGAGGTCAGCAGAGGAGAGTTTCCTTTGCCGCCGCGTTGCTTCACAGGCCCGAACTTCTAATTCTGGACGAACCCACCGTAGGCCTGGACCCAATTTTGAGGGAGAAGCAAGTAGATTTTGCTTTTTTTAGACATAGTAATTATAGAATGATGCAAAAGTGTTGGAACGTATTTTTTTTTTTGCAGCATTTGGGCCTACCTGATCAAGATCACGCGAGACGAAGGTACCACTGTGCTGATTACAACGCATTACATTGAAGAGGCTAAAGATGCTAATAAAGTGAGTTTCATTATCATTAAATTATCTCTAAATTATCTTAAATTATCTCTAATAATATCTCTAATAATATCTTTATATATCTCTCTAATAATATCTAAAGATGAAAAATAAAATTCTTATTGGATGATTTTTTATCATGCAATAAGATATTCACATCACAACAATTTTTTTAAAAGATGAAAAAAAATTGCTGTGATGAATATCTTATTGCATGATAAAAAAATCATCCGATAAGATAATTATTTTTCATCTTTGAAAACATTTTTTTGCCGAGTTATGTAAACATTTATTATGCTCTGTATTTTTCTTATTATGCAGATTGGTTTGATGAGAGATGGTAAATTATTGGCAGAATCAGCGCCGCTGAAATTATTAGAACGATTTCAATGTTCCTCCTTGGAAGAGGCTTTTTTAACATTGTGCCAGGCACAGAACAATATGACTACTTTGAATGAAACTCAAGAACCTAAAACGGAAGATACTGCCTCGTATCAGAATCAAAATAGACAAACAGAAGTATATATAAAACAATCCATGTTGTATTCATTACTATAAAAAAATTATATTATTTTGTGTTATTTTATAATATAATTTTATAATAAAATAAATTAAATTATTAAGGAACACTGGAAAGCCAAAGCGATTTCAAGATGTAAAGTTTCACCATTAAAAAGGTTCAAAGCTCTGATGTCAAAAAATAGCATTCAATTTTTGCGTTATTATTCGTAAGTATTTATCAATAATTAATTTTCTCATAAAATAAATGAAATTTTACGAAAAGAGATCTCATTTATTTTAATTCTAAATTTTTTCATTTTCTAATATTTGTATAATATTGGATCATTATGTAGGAAAGATTATATTGTATAAAACTCAAATTTGTATCAATCATCAATTGTTGCAAGTTTTATAACAATAAAAATAAATCACATATATTTTTTCAGAGGAATAGTTTTTGCAGTGATATTTCCAATACTCCAAATCGCTTCATTTTTCATTGGAATTGGTGGCGATCCGAAAGATTTGTTTATCGGAGTTATCAATGATGAAGCTGGTAATTGTGATAACGGCAATAATTTGGGCAACATATGGAAAGACGAATTCTCTTGTTACTTTGGCAATCTCAGCTGCAGGTTTCTACATCGGTTTAATCACTCTATTGCAAAACAGGTACAACGTAAAAAGTGATAATGTTTAATCGATGTGTAAATACGATTAAAACAGTTTACATCTTCTACATTTCTGTAACTTTATTTTTATATAAATTAAAAAAATTTATTTCGATTAAATTAAATATTTCGTAAAATTAAAAAAATAACAAAATAATAATCGACATAATATTAATGTGTCTTTTATCACAATTCTTACGAATATTTCGCTTTTAGGAGTATTACGACGACGTATCCGAAGCAACTCGCGCTGTACAGAATGGAAGACTCAGCGGTGTGATATATTTTAATCAAAATTTCTCCTATGCTCTGCAGACGCGATTGGAGGACATTAGTTTTGTGACAGATTCTGTTCTCTCTTCCAGCGAGATTCAAGTTTCCCTCGATATGGGCGGTACATACGTATATTATTTATCTGTTGTGCAGAACTTTTATAACAAGTTAAAAAAGATTGTCAACTTATATGTTCAAAAAATTTTTTGACGAAAAAAATTATTTAAAGAATTACAAAAAAATTCAAAGAAATTAAGAGTTCCAAGTTATCCAAGTTATTTTAAATCTTGATATCTTGAATCTTGGAAATCTTATTTTAAATCTTAATTAAAATTAAATCGGCATGCAAATAGCATGCCAATGGTTCATTAGTGCAATTACAAATATTTAAATTTACAACCACTTTCATTATAGATAGGCAAATCGGACTCAGTCTACAGAAACAGTTATTTGAGCGTTTCTTGGACATTTGTAAGGAAATTATGAAGGAATGCAATTATTCGTCAAAATTAATTGAGCCTCCTGTTCGAGTGAGAATATTTTATATTTTAATATAATCCAAACTCTTTTCTTTCTTCCTTTATTACTAAAACAAAGAAATAAAATTTTGTTTTTTCAGTTTGAAAATCCCATTCATGGTACGATGGATCTCAATTATTTAGATTTCATGATACCATCATTTATGCTAACGTAAGCGAAAGTCAAATTAAAATAACAAATGTAATCAACTGCTCTTGTTAAATTATTTGTGTCTTTGCAGACTTGGCTTCTTTCTGGCTACCACAATCTCTACCACCTTAATAATCACAGATCGATCGGAGGGTGTTTGGAATCGAAGCTTAGTTCAAGGTAACTTATTAGTTTTTAAAATCAATTTTACAACTGCTTCTTTATCTCTTCGTTTCTTATTGTATAATAATTACTTAAATATTTAATAGGAGTTAAAACAGTAGAAATTCTGATGTCTCATATCCTTACTCAGAGCATCCTCCTAGTCATCCATACCTCAATAACAATGTGCATATTCTTTGCAATATATAATTTGGAATGTAAGGGATCGACAGTCACCGTATTCAGCCTCCTCTTTCTCAGCAGTTTTGTTGGAATGATGTATGGTGAGTATTCTAATATTAAACAAATAAGCGTGCAACAATAATTAAGAAACTATTAGGAAATAAACTGATCATTGATTCACACATTTCTAGGTTTCTTTATCTCTGTTATGTGCAAAAATCATACTATGGCGAATTACAGTTCAGCCGGAAGCTTCTTCCCGTTAATACTGCTCAATGGTGAGTCTCTGTTCCTTGTATTTTATGAAAAGTATTTATTTTAATTTAGCATTTTTGCTAAATAATGTTAACGAATTATTATTGAATTTAAAATCGTTTTGTCGTATAATGATATGTTATATTAATAAAGACTTTAGCTGAAGAGAGATGGTTAAATTATACACATCAATAAAATTTAGATTATCTTAGGTTAATCAAATTTTGATTAATTTACTAATTTGATAAAATCATAGGATGTCTATGGCCGCTAGAAGGAATGCCAAATATGCTCCGTTGGTTTAGTTATACTCTACCGACTACTTTGCCCTCCATATCCATGAGAGGAATCATTTATAAAGGTTATTCTATATCTGAGCCGGAAATTTATATTGGTTTTTTAGTAACTTTAGGGTGGATATTGTTTTTTTTATTGTAACTGTAATTGGTATACGTTCAAAAGTCTCGTGACATTATTTAGAAAAAAGTATTTTTTTTAAAGAAAGATAAAGTGCCTTTATATAGTTACAATATTCAGTTAGATATATAAATATGTAATATATTTTAGTTGATTTGTTTTAAAATATTTTTATGTGGTGAAAAAGTTTATAATTATTTTCTTCATGTAAAGACCTACCTATAAAAAAGTATTTAGTATTTAAAAACAGTATTTGCTTCCAAAGTATAAATTAGAGAATAAACAAATAGCTACAATTCCTCTTAATTAAATTTTCTTTACTTGTAATTTAAATCATTAATTATGTTTTATTTTTTTATATGTAATTGTAAATTAATAATTATATTTTTTAAAAAGATAGTAATAATTTAAATAAAATATTGACTATTACTACAATATTATACTACTATATATATATATATATATTATATATATATATATATATATATATATATATATATATAAAAATGTAATATTAAAATATTTTATTTTTTAATTCTAATATATATATTTATATATTAATTATTTTAATATATACATATATATATATATATATAATTTGAATATATAAATATTAATAATAAATATGTAATCGTATTAAGAATTATGTTATCAATAAAAGTATGATATTGAAAAATATAATAGTCAATTTTAATATCCTTATAATTTCATTTATAGATGAAAATAAAAGAAATACTTTTGTATCATATAATAATACAAGAGAAAAAGAAAAAAATGGGAAGGAGAGAGATATGAAAGATATACGTAAGAGTACGGGAAATTAAATAAAGATATTTGCAGTTCGTAATTACGTTAAATATGTTTCTCCGTTGATAACATATTAATCTTACATGTATAAATATACACAGTGTTTCCTATATACAAACATATACAGCGTGCCAAACATATACTTCATTTTATACTTGTTTTACACTCGTAATATTGTACATTATTTATGATAATTATATTATTATATAATATAATTATATATGATAACATAATTGTGATGCATAATTTTGTAATTATTATCGCAACAATATAAATATAATAATTATGGTCAAACAGTTACATCACAAATTCGTTATCATAATTGAGTTACACAGTTATGATACACAATTCTATTATTATTACTGTTATAATTATTAATAATCATACTTTTAATAATAATTACAATATGAAATTACTTAGTAACACATGACGATTAAATTAATTCCAGTCAATTATTATTAATAACTGTTAAATAACTCCTTTTTTGTTTATGCTTAAATTTGTAATTCCTTTTATATTTTCTACCTTTCAATTTTCTTTATTTTTTTTTTATTTATAAATCTCTTTGAAATTTTGACCATTTTTATTTTGAAAAGCTCGTGTTTAGAGAAATCTAGAAAGAAATAGACGATTAATCTCTAATACACGACATGATTTCTAAATCCATTACTTCTCTAATAGCATTTAATAATCTATAAAAAATAGATAGTTAATCTATATAATAGAATAATAATTTCTACTTAAGTGGAATAAGTTTAATGAGCGTTTAAATCTTCTATTTTGGAAAGCTTTGGTTTACACATTTATAAAAATAGTTGGTTTAATAGCGGAATTAAATGCGAGAATGATCGAGATATGAATTCCGCATGTTTTTGTAACTTTTGTAACTTTCAGCGCTCTCGTTGTTATTATTATTGTTGTTGTTGCTACTGCTGTTGTTGCTAGCAGCCATGCTAGTGTCCTGATTAAAATCATTAGTAGCTTGATTAGAGTTTATAGCAGAAAGAAGAAGCCGGGGACCACAGGCTCGGGTCGGTCGAGCGGCAATGAGACAGTCAACTATCTGTCTTATAGTAGGCATGCAGGTTTTGTCGTATCCTGGAAAATACACGTCACATGCTCCATCAGAACTGAAAAACGCACACCGATGACTGTCGCGTCGTTTTGGGTCTTAAGTTTTATATTTAAATTATTAGTATTTAGAATCGATATTTCAAATTTATCTCGAACGATCAAATAAGAAGTTTAAATTTCACATCTTAAAACATAAATGATATTCTTTAAAATTTAACATGGTACAAAAAAATATTTCCCCATATATTGTTCTCGATAATCGTACACGTGAATGAATAATTCGAAAAATCACGACGAGAGCGTTAAACGAAAGTGCTTAAAAAAATTTCTTTTACATGTAACATATAACCCAAAAAGACGGTTTATCATTATATCTGATTGATATAATGAATATTTCACAGACAGTCAATCTAAACTTGGATATAATAAATATACGAACGGGTTAAAGTTGCATGCATTTTTAAGTGAAACAAAGAGGCAAACGCAGAGCTAAGTACGATGGACAGGGAGAAGTCACAAAATCCTAAACTACAAAAAAAGAACGATAGGAAAGCTAAACATCAAAATAGTTAATTCTTCTCAATCGTCATTAACAGACGTAAGTACGATTGTATTATCTATTGGGATCGATAGTCTTACTACGATGTTCCTGATATTTCTGATGGTGAATAAAAATGAGAAGAGGAAAGATTTGAAAAGATAGAAAGAAATTTATCGCTGATAGATTCACTTTACTTGGATTCATTAAAATGCCGATGTAATTCCCGATGCAATAATCGAAATGAGATTGGATCCAAAAGGAATTTATTAGGTTCAAAGAATCAAAGAGACTCATTGCAGATGACTTCACTTTAGCCTTTACTTGGATCTTTCTCTTCAAAAGTGTTCTTGTCGCGGGAATCAAAATCAGGATCCGAGAGGATTAGAGATACTCCTTATCGGTGATTCCACTTAATGATAATATTCAAAGGCATTATGGTGTGTTAATTAAAATCGGGATTGTTTATCTTCGTTGAACATATTCCTCAAACGACAAGGATGCGCAGCATCATGCAATAAAGACAGCTCAAAGGATTTTTCGCAAAATCACTAAACAACAAAAATTGGTAAATATCACAATTCTAAGTTGGCGTTAACGTAGTCGAGTCTAAAAAAGTTACAAAACATCGTCATGACTAAAAGGAGACATCAAGCGAATCACGGGGGAGGAGCAACAGCATTACGATACTGACGATCTCTGTATGCAATTAAAGTTAAAAAATATGCTATTCCGAAAGCACGCGAAATACTTGTTCGTTACAATTTCGTAATAATACCCAGCATTCGCATGCACAAATAAATAGACATACAAGTACGGTAAAAAGTTAAAAAATGCGTAGGAGCTTATTAACAACTACATAATACAAATTCGGTCGCAATCCTTTTTGGCACATCTCGCTACTTTTTGCGTATATGTCCCGAAGAAACGTGAAAATCTATCTATAAGAAATATATTCCTTTCATTAAACTTAAACCTTGGTAAAAAGGTCGGTTCTCTTCTTAACTTTCAATATCAGTATTATCAGTAACGATTAAAACCTGTAATGAATTAGTCATCAGGCTTGTTAAATATATCTCAAAACTTGGAGTAGTGCTTAAATTTGACATTCGGAAAAACATCTGAAAGAACATCCGGAGAAACATCATGGGACAACATCTGGAAGAATTTACCTGAGAAGCAATATATCCAAAAACTAATAATTTCTTCACATTTTTCGGGACGCTCTGAATAAATCCAGAGTGAAGCACTATCCTTAAATCGATGTATCGCTTTATCACTTATAGCTATAATTGTTCTGTGCAATATTGACTGCAATATTACTAGGATTGTCTTGTTGTATCATATGCAACTCTTGCGTAAATCATCCAACAATTTCCCGATCGTCCATCGAGAATAACAATTTTTGCCGTTGGTCCTTCCTATCAAAGTTATCGATTTAAAATCGTATTTTAATAATAACACAACTTTCACAATAATTATATAATAATACTGTAACGTCGAATGAATGTTTATGCAAAGCTGAGATAATAACAAAATTACATTCCGCCTCTTATTTTTATAATAATCGATATAACATTTATTTTTTCATTAAATTAACTATTAAATATATGTAGCATAGTAATATTGTTATCTGTTTTTGTTGTCAATTTTTTTAGTATCAATCAATATGAATATTTCTTTCGTAGCTTCATTCGTAGATGCATATATTTAATTATATTTAATCAATTATACAGAGAGTTTTGATATTATAGGTATAAAATTAAGATTTCTATAAAAAAAGGTCTTAATAATAATTAATTCTGTTAATTAATATCCTGTGTAATAAGTTTAAATATAATTGAATAAATTTTGTTATAAAAATGTTATCGGCTTTTATCATAGTAATTATGTGCTAAATTACGCGTAAAAACCGATGAAGCTTTCCTAACACAATTAAATCCGTCCATTTAATATACTTTGTAATTTCTATGCCGCCTTATATATATATATTGAATTCTAAGCCACTACAGAAAAATTTCGCACATTTTTCTCGATACTTACTCGATTTACACAAAATTCCCCCCCAAAAAAAAAATTTTCTTCCTTCAATAAAGATTATTGTTACACATATATATTATTTGGCGCGAGATACATCTGTGACTCATATATATATATATCAGATTTTTTCTCATGTAAATTCGAAATGTCCCAACTGCGCAAAATACTATTTGCTTCTTCTTTAATCAAATCAATTACGAATGCTTAGCCAATTCTGATTATAAGGCAGTCTCCTTCTCGCTGATAATCTTAATGCCATGCTGTGTGAGAATCATCTTCACTTCCTCTTTGTCTCGCGTGTTCGATTTCAGAGCTGATTCTTCAGATTCATTTTCCTTTCCCAGATTTTCCGTTTTCGAGTTTAGATTATCAGTGGATTTATTCAAACGGTCCATATCGTTGGCCGATCTCTGCAGGGATTTCGATCTTCTCGAATCTCTCGATATTTGCAGATTATCGGCAGATCTAATCAACGTTTGATTTTCCGCGACCTTGAGCACTTTTTCATTCGCTTTCGAGGACATTTTTGCTAGCTGAAGACTGTCCACCGAGGAATATCGTCTTTTATCGCGTGCACTTCCGTTAGAATCCTCTTTCTTTCTGAACAAAGAGCCTTTGCGATTAACCTTTCTCGCTCCGCTCGTTAAAATCGCGATCTCGTCTTTGGGTATGAAATACAATTCTCGCGGCTGATCCTTGTTCATCGAGGAGCCATGGATGAAGAGCGTCTGCGACTTCGGCCTTCCGAGATCCTTGACTCTTTCCTTCTCAGAGATCCTACTTCGATCGTCGGCCGATTCCGTACCACTCTGGAAGCCGCAATTCTCAATCTCGAAGCTATCGTCATCATCTTGATGCGGTTCTATCTTAAAACCATACCTGTCCGCTGGTATCACGGAATCCTGATCAAAACTGCCGTCCACTTCGCCGCAGATTCTGCAAAGTTCGCAAGGAATTTCCTGAATCTTGCCTTCGAGATCGTCGGCGGATTCTTGGAGATTGAGCGAACTGCAGATATCGCACTCGATGGAGTCATCGTCGTCGTCGTCGTCGGCCAGCGAGCTGCAGGTCGACCTGAGCGTGTAGAATGTCTCCTGATTCGGGCTGCTCACCTCCTCCTCCGTTCGGAAGGTTATCTCATTCATATAACAGCAAATGGAACAAAAGTCATCCGGAATATCGAGTTGCGAACCACTGCTGTTTGCCTTCGTCGGCGGCACGCCTAGAAACATCTCCTGGATACGTTTGATCGATTCGTAGCTCTTCGATTTCTTCGAGAACGCGTCCTCCTTCTTTGGCTTCTGTACGGATGTCTCGTCGGACACGATCATCGAGTCCAGACTGCCCTGAAGAGGCACGTTGTAACGTCGCACCTTCCTCGTATATACATCTTTGATCTCGTTGAAGTCACATTTTGTCCTATTATCAGCAGTTTGTGCGATATTTATCGTTTCCTGGACTTGTTCTCCTTTGTTGTCGTTCACTTTCACAGCCTTCTGAGTTTGAGCCTTCGGACTTTTCATGGAAGACGTTCTCGAGGGATGCTGGGAGGGTCCCTCAGACAGCGACGTTTCTCGATTATCGGCAGATCGATCTCGCTTCTTCGATTCGGTAGACCGGATTTCGGAATCCTTCGAACTTGCCACTTTCGTTGAAGACTTTTTTACAGAATCTTGGAACACCTCCTCCAATTGAGAAATAACACGATCGTTGATAGACCGATCGTAATCTTTCATCTCCTCACTTCTATAAAATACTTGACTTTTCTTGCCCTTTTTGGGACTTTTTGCACTTGTAGATACTTTTGCAGATCTTTGGGAAGCTTTCCCAGATTCTCGATCATTAATAAATTTATCACGATCCTTGATTTCGCGCTCGCTTTCGCTGGTTTGAAACTCCCCAATTTTCTTGGGACTCTTCGTCTTCATAAAAGATGATCTTGAAGAATCTCGAAAGACTTTTTGTGCACGGTGTATCTCTTGATCCTTAATAGTTTGTTTTTTCTCATCGATATCAGCATTTACTTCGTAAATCTGGTTTTCCTTAACTTCTGATTTTCCTTCTGTTTCGGAACTCTTCACCTTCGTGGAAGAACTTTGGATCATTTCAGATTGATCGTCGGTGAGTCGTTGTTGCTCCTTGATCGCATCATGAGCTTGACCTTCCCTAATCTTCCTTGGACTTTTGCGCGAATTTACGATCGACTTTAGATACTTGCCGTCTATCTCCGGACTAGGATCGCAAGATGTAATCCGTTTTTCCGAGAATTGCGTGTCCGAATCTGATTCCTTTTCCGTTTTGCTCACCTTGTCAGTTTCTTGTGATATCTTCAATATTTCCTCTGTCTTCACCTGTTCTTCACCTGCGACATGAAACTTACTCTCTATTTTTACCGTTGAGTTTTTACCGTACAGTGATTCTTCCTTGACATACTTTGATTCATCAATTTCTTCGGAAGACTTTGCACAATCGTCGCTCTCTTCAGCCTTAAAAGATTCTTCTTCTTTCTGGCTCTTCGGAATCGCCGATTCTTGGCCAGTGTACGATTGAACGTCGCTCTTTTTGATGCTACTCTTGTCATCATTTTCAGAAACACCTATGTTCACATCTTCTATGTAATCGTCATATTTCGTCAAATTCAATCTGGCAGTATATATAGATTTATCCTCTCCTTCTTCGTCTTCGGAAGCATATTGGCTAAGGCGATAGTCTTCCTTATCTACGCTGAAATCTGAGAGAGCACATTCGTGACGACCGTCCAGTGATGTCATCGAGACATTCAGTGACGAAGTAATCGCCTTGGCTTCTAGATATTTATCTCTATCTGATTCGAAATCGATTGTTTCCGTCCTGGATCCACTTCCTACGTCATCGACATCGACGTCACTCTTCGTACTCCCCTTTGCACTATGTTCAGTTAGTTCTCCATCATCTTTACCTACCTTACTTAGCTGTGAATTTTCTTTAGACTTATTCTTTTCCTCGTCAAGCTTAATTTTAAGTTCGTTCGTAAGCTTTTCTATCATTAATCTACGATCATCCTTTAATGTAAGTATACCATGGCTGGAATGAACAGGTTGAACCTTAACAACATTAGAATCGGCGAATTTTAGTTCTACGTCAGCTATTTCTTTGCCGCTAAGGTCAACTTTTCCTTCTACGACACTCTTGCTAAAATTAGATCGAACCGAACCTACCTCGTCATTGATCGCTTCTATCATAGACTTATGTTTTTCTTTCAGGACACTCTTATCATCTAATCCTAACTCTACATTAGTTATTTTCTTTTCAGAAGTGACTTTTCTATCGCGACCTATAACTTTATCGTCCGCAGTGCCTTCTCTTTTCGGCCAGCAACATTCTCCCAATCGAAGCTCGCTAGAACTCGATTCGCTAGACTCAATCTTCATTATTAATTCGCGATCGTCATTCAAATCTGAGTGTGTAACTTCCTTCTTATATTTCAAATCCAAAGCCTCTCTTTGTTCACCTTGAGCTTTATCGTTTACCGCACTTTCTATTATCGACCTAAGATCCTCTTTCGGCGCACGTTCGGCACCGAGCTGAGATTGAACCTTGACGACTATCTCACCCGAACCTAAATCTACATCAACAACTTCTACCTTAGATCTGTCCGACGGTTCTTTACCGTTGTCATTTACCGCGAGAGATTTACGATCTACGTTCGAGTCGCCGGAAGAAGAAACGGGTTGAATATTTACTATTATCTCGTGATCTTCGTTCGAACCTAAGTCCACATCGGCGATTTCCGCCTTTGATCTGAAATCCAAGACCTCTCTCTGTCCAGTGTCAAATTTATCCGGTATCAATGCGGTATTATTTAACGTCGGTTTACGGCCCTCTTCCAACGAAGGACCGGGTTGGGGGGGCCTCGCCGTCGATTCGTCAAGCGCACCTACCTCATTCACGATTCGCGCGATGCCGGTTGCGCTGGCGATGATCTGTTTCGCCTGACCGGGATACGCGGCTCTAGATACATGCTTGACGTTGCCATTGTCAACGGCGTTGATGCTGATCGCGCTAACAAATTGCTCGCGAGTCTCGTCGAGCCCGCCACCACCGCCCGCAGCATTCTGCAGGTTTTTGCGTAGCACCACCGCGTCCGGCACATCGATAGACGCGGCGATCTCGACCGGGCTCGGCGAGTCCATGGTTACATCGCTGGGCGACGGCGTTAGGAATGCGCTTAGGTATCGGGGATCTATGTGCAGGTAATTGTTCGCATTCGGCGACGGCAGTTCCAACTTACTTCGGTGTCCAATCGGCAACGGCAGCGTGAAAAACATGACGATTCTTTTATAGAACATCACTTTCGCTCATCATTACATCTACATATTTTTTTTTTTTTTTTTTCTTTAGAATTAGAACATAATTTAGTCGCGTGGGCTCGTAAAGTTATGTTCCTTCATTCGTAATTAACAATTATTGGATTACGGAATAATTTAATTTTCAATAATCAAATAATCTTCGTGGAATTAGAATATGTATCATGAATATACAGCTGAAATGTTTGATTCTTTAAATTTTTAGAATTCGGTATTTCATATGCGATTTTATTTCGTAAACGTTATATGAATTAATATGCGCAATATGCGAGTTTCCAATTTCACACCAATATTTTCAACTTTGTTCCACTCACAGTTTGAATTCAATAAATGGAATATATGAGACAAGGTTGATATGATCCCACGCGACTAATAAAAAAAAATAATAGTAGCAAAGGTGTCTCCGGAATTCGATTCACTGACGATATTTTCTTATTTTTTATTACCATTGAAATCTTAGTCTAAAATTAATTGAGAATAATTATACCAATATTATTGATTTTTATTTTTATTATAAATAACAAAACATTAAATTAAATATTAAATTGAATTGTAATCGTAATATTTGTATTAACATTATTCTTGTCAGTGAATGAAATTTAAAGTGTATATAAATTTTAAGTGATAATTTAATTGTTATAATATGTAAAATCTCAGCAGTCACTATAAATTGTTTTTTTTTTAATGATTAATATTGAAAACATAAGAAACTAATTTCAATTAAAAAACAATTTGTACATAAAATCTTATTTTTATATTTTATTATCAATCATAACGTTTTTTACGAAATTTAAAACATTCCATAATGCCTGCTGAGAATATAAATTTCCGATATTGCTGAAATCGATTAAGAATAAGAATAATATTGTATATATTATGTATCAAATATCATCTTATATTATGTAGAAAAATAATATTAAAAAAATAATAAACAAAACACAATATATTCTATAAAATTTATTAAACGTTGATTTAAATAAAAATATTTGATACTAAACACCGCACATTTACACATTCTAAATTAATTGTAATAAACAGAAACTAATTATTTATATTATTATATTACTATTATATAATATTATATTACATAATATAACATTACATAATAATTAAATTAATTAAATAAACAAAAACGATAAGTGAAACATAAATTCTTCGTCATTAACAAAAAAACATAATGATTCAGCCCGCCTTCGATTTTGATGAGACTTTGGAGATTGGTATTACAGTTTAAATATAAAAATATAAAAATAAGAAAAATGTATAACTTTTTGAATATTCAATGATATGTTACAGTGTTGAAACATCTGTGAAAACTGACAATATGTAAAATACTGTAAAATACTTATAAAAATAACATCTCGCTTTGATTTAAATTCAAAACTCATAAAAATCGATGGAGAATACTTTGGATGTTTTTTTGTAAATATTGTATATAATGGAAGACGAGTAGGAAGACTAGAATAAGATATACATTATCTAAATTTTGTCGAAATATAATACGTAGCAATGATTGCTATTCCTTTTAAGTATCCATCTTTGTACGTATAATACTAACTATATATGTAGAACACCGTAATATATAACACCATAAAAAGATAAAATTTAATGTTTCTACGAATGATTATAAAATGATTAATCAAGGAATAGTCCCAAGTAAAAATCTAAACATGCTACTAACATCAATTAACACCAATTAACCGATAAATTAGAATTAATATAATTTTTCAAATGCAATTTGATTCAATATTTACTGAGAACTTTATATTCATTTTTTCATATTTGATTATTAAATTTTATATTCTCCCTTTCTCTATTATTTTTACAAATTTGTATTTCAATCATATTTTATATTATTAATTTTGTGCTTTTATTTCGCGCTTATACCAATTTTTCATTGAGCTACCAAAGCCATTATCAATAATATAACATTATCATTTTTTTATATCATATAGTAAATACACTATCATATATAAAAATATAGTAATATTATTTTTTCAATAAAATGTATAAAAATCGATGAAATTATGACACCTACAATGAATCTATTATTAAGCATTAAAACATCATAAAAACGATAAAATTTTCTTAAATTTCTTATTTCGAGATTTTATCTTTTTTAGCAATTTTACTGCAGTCACATTCAATTATAAAAGCAAAATAATCATTTTTTACATAATAACAAAATATAATCATATTTTTACTGAACTAACTTCAGATGCATTTGTATAGAAATTTAGTATAACATACACCAAAAAATTCATTTAAAAAAAAAAATAAATTTTTTTTGCACATCATAATTCAATATGACTGCATCGTGGAACACTTGCACTGTTGGGCAATAAATCAATGCCATTAAATTCTATTTTGAGCATCTTAATTCACGAAATGCAATGATTTTTATCTTTTTTCATTAAATCCGTGTATCATTTATTCTCTGCTTTCTTATTGCTTATTAGTTTTCCTCTTTCTTCTATCATCTTATATGTGATCATGCGTAAGAAAAGTGAACCTTTTAAGCATAGTTTGAAAAGCTCCAAAAGTCACGCAAGAAGAGAAATAATACACAACAATAAAATAAATAAAAGCAAATAAAAAATACACGGACTTATATATTCCTTCCTTTTATATTTGCCCAATCCAGTAACGATTACTGTAATTTCTCATGCAGAGTTTACAAATTTCAGACTTAAATATGATATAGATTATATGATTCCAGACACATCTTAAATGCTTTTGTTACTGTAATTCTCTACTGCTTAATGTAGCTTTTAAATCATATTACTTTTATCTTATATTATTTTATATAGAAAATTATCTTTGAATGTGTATTTTCAATTCAGTACAAAGCTTTTATTGAATTCATTTTATATCTTAAACGTTTTTTATAAATCTTCAAAAAATCAGGCAATAGAGAATTAATGAATTGGCAGACTCAGAATAACAAAAAAAGCTTATCATCATTATAAAAGTCGTTAAAAAAATGTGTCTAAACAAAATGTTCGAAACTCACATTGTCGTGTCTGGCATTTTTGCATCATAGATCTCATGCTTGTAGATGTAATCGATGACAGAATCTTGCAGTAGGTACCTAACACTCTCGCCGCGCTTTAGGGCTCGCCTGATTTTCGTCGAGCTAACTTCATTCGGAATCCATTCGGTCACGATACAAATATTGTGCTAATAAAAAAAATTTCAACAATAGTTCAACTTTAAAAACTTGATTATGGCTGATAATAATAATCAGTTACATTTGATGATAATAATAAGTTACATTTTCAACTTTAAAATCATTTAATAGGTGTAATGTATGACATAATAAATATAATTTAATAGAAATATATAGTACAATTTTTGATATTTTTATACCTTACCATATGCTTAGAGAGAATGTCCGAATCATAAATAAACTTATTAGGATTGGAACCTTCTCTAGTGATAACCACAAGACCATGTTCGCCAACAATTGTATCAATCTGTAATATAACAATCGACATATTATTTACTTTGCTATTTTATTTATTTTTATATGCATTATTTAATAAAGTTAAGAGTTTATCTCAAAACTTAAACAAAAGAAACACATTTGAAATATAACTAAATACAAATAACGATCTTATCTAAAACTGTTAAAAAAATATTTATATCTAAAATGATATGAGATGTAAATTACATCTTCTTCAAGCCAAAGTCCAGAAATGCCAAAGCTCTCCAAAAGATCTCCACCACACAACAATTTAATTTGTATTGGTGTATTGTCTGAGCTATTTTTCACATTCTCTGGAATCCATTCTGTATCCTCTATCTGCAGATGATGTTTGATATCTTTGGAATTAGATAACATGGAATTGAGTAGATTTTGATGATGCTGCAAACATATGCGAGTCTTGGTCCAACAATTTTGCCTGGTCTCCCATGTGCTCAGGCGAATCCAATCACTATTCTGCAATGCAAATCGCAGCATCGCGCATCTATGAGTAGAACTGACCAGTTCGTTCTTGGCATAAACATCGTGCACTGGAGAGATTACACCACCAACAACAACATGCGTTCCCATTCGATGTAGATGATCTCGAGCAATTTCTGAAACACAGAATTATTCAAATAAATTATAATTTATTAAAATTCAAAATTTATTAGATTACATGTTACATATCCGTATATTTATAGTTAAATGATCTGCAAATAAGTTGATTGAAGAGAGATGGAAGCAAAGAACCGAGAGAAAACATATAAGGATGCAAAAATAGATCTCACGTCACGCAAAGTGCGATAAACAACAAACTGCACGCGTGACAGTGATGTGACATCGGGCGTGATAATTGACGCGTGACGTGCATTCGCTGTTCGATAAAAACAGTGTTCGGGTGAGATGACGATAAATCGATATATACGTACCGAACATCCGCAGGTGCATATTTGTCGGCGGATTATAACTGCCGCACGACATCAAAATTACACGCGTGGGCGCCATTTTGCACGCTCGCCACTCGTCGCCACATCGACGATCAACTGCCGCACCTCCGTCACGGCCAAATCGACCTGAAACACAACCACTGTACGACGACGACGGCGACGAACCACACGTCGCGAGGTTGCGTAACCTACTGACCGCGTTCAGAAACAAATCGCGCGCCGATCGCCGCCATGTTATCTCAAACATTGTCGACCAATAGGAAATTTTCTTATCCGCATTGGCACACCACCTGTTCAATAGAGCGCATTATGTTAGATTCATATCACTTGCCATACCACATCCAATAGGATTATTCATTTTCTAGAGATAAAATTTGACTGGCTAGGGACTCCACCAAGCATAGTTTCCTATTGGATGTTGAAATATATATTTACTCACAGACGAAACAAAATGGCGACATGTCTTTTTGATTTCTTTCGGAACGCCGACATCCGATTTGTTTTCGAATTATTCCCAATTGGGAGACGTGTGACAACATATGATCCAACTGATGTCATTAATACACCGTCTTTCTTGTCGATTCATATCTAGATATACATACATTTTCAAAAACTATGCTGTAATATCAGTTAATTGATATTTGGTGTTAAAATTAAATATTGATCCAGAGCATGACTTTCTGGTAACTCGGAATAATATAAATTTATGCTAATTTCTCTAATTAAAACTCAAACTAACAAAGAGTAATCCAAAATTGTATCCTTTTTTCAACTCTACATTTTCTTAAATATAATAATGCAGACTAAATTTAAAGGACTAAACTTTCTGAGAAAAAAATAATTTTTTGAATTCTTATAAACATATTTTAAAATTAATTTTTTTACAAAATGAAATATCTAAGTGTCAAAGTTTGTGTTTAACACATCACATAGAACCACAGAATAGCAATGTTAAGAAATTGACATTAACCTTACCTGGTGTTTGAAGTCATCCTATCTTGGTTTAAATGATTATACTTCACGAATTTGCTGTTCGTTGTTCATTTACTGTTGTTTCAGGAATGGCTAATATAATTTTTAAGACATTCATATCTTTTTTTATAACACCTGATCTATGCACATTTGACAAGTTTTCATATTTTATTTATTATCCTTAATTGTTGTATTGCAATTAATTAACGTTTGAATCTATTTTTACCTAAGTTTATTTTTTTCTTTTCTTACTATGTGCATATTTATGTATATCTAAATATATAAATTAATTTAATTTTATACAATATAAATGCATTGATTAGTATTTAAATAGAACAAAAAAATACTTTCAACAGAAAGTAAAAAAAAATGTGCGGATTTTCCAATTTTCTATAAGATTATTATAACAATATCATAAATATTTCGCAAAAAATAAGGTATACTTTTACACAAAAAATTATATAATTTGAATGTTCCCAATTAAAATCATTTAGTTTCATAAACAAGTTTAAGTTTAGTTTAATATTCTATATTCTAAATTGACATGGTCATTTTAGAATTTCATAAAATTGAAACTTTCTATCATTTTACACGCAATAATTATTAATTTTTTTCTACATACTTTCTTGCCAACGACTATAATCTTTCCTTATTCTACGATGTTGATAAGAGGGATTGGTTCAGTAATACACAAATCTAACTTTATTCACATTTTTTTGTCATTTTTTTTCCGCTGAATCATCGAGAAATGATCTTGAGAAAACAGAAACCTCTGCGATACGAATAGCAATTACAGGTAAATATGTACAATAATATATAATAAGTGATGGTTGCCCTTCCTTCTCTTTCTTTTCTTCAACAGTCATTTCACTTCGCTCAACGGCAATCAACCAATCAGTATTTTAACTGTAATAAATCGCAAGACTCAATCTACTCTTTCCCACGCATTCATCTTCACCTAAGCATTAATTACTATCGATCATCGAATATCGCGACAGTATCGACGAATTGACAGAAATGCTTTCCTAATTCAAATCATCAATCTCGAATCGCTAGCCAACTTTTCCTCATTTCGGAATCATCGCACTGAATTCACACAATTTTAATCACGATGCAAGATGTTTAAGACATTTCTTTGAGAGGACATCCCCTTTCCATTTTTTCCTCTTCATTATCAATTTTATTTTATTTTTTTTTCTCGATTAAATTTTAAATGATCTCAAACTAATGATCCGAAAGTGCAAACATTTTGCATCGCTCCCAATATTCATTTTTAATCACTTCACTTATTGCGACCATTGTGTTGCATTTGATGATTTTACTTCGCATCGCTTAATCTCCTCCATTTTTTTCATAAAATTCAAAATTCTCTTTCTCTCATTCTCTCTCACTTACACATTCTCTCTCTCTCTCTCTCTCTCTCTCGCAGTTAGATATATCTCATTACCGTACATTCAATACATTCACATTCGTTTAAATATTACTTTATAACGTTATATTCATCTGTTTCTTTCAAATCTCTCTCTTTGTATCTTCTTACTGCTCTCCCTCTTTCATACTCTCATTCACTCTCTCATCGACTCCCATTGTTAACGATTCGAGTAAGGTGAAATGGTGTATCTCAAATGTTCAAATTTTTTTTCTTACAATAAAGTTAAGACTAAACTAAATTAAATTAAGTTACTTAGAGTTAATTAAACTTTAAACTACAAAATAGATATATGTCTACCAAGTTGTTCAAAATTTTTTATAAAATATATTTCGCATATATTTAAGTACTTACTTTACTTGCGGAATTATCCTCAATTGTTAATTCATATTAAATTTTGTCATTTCAGATTTCGAAAGAAGTAGGAAAATCCTCTAATCGAATAATATTTTTATCAAAAATTGTTTAATCTTATGCCAATTATACAATCCCCATTACCCCATTTCACCCTACTCCGAACAACTGATGGACATATTTTGAGATGTAAACTGTAAATTTTTCGACAAGCACTCGACAAGTATCACTGGACGACATGACACTATTAAATTGTCATTAATCTGAGCTAAGGAAAATAACTGACGAGTATATAGTTAGCCCAAACCACAGTTACTTCAGTTACTTCACTTCATTCTACTTATTACAATTCGTCTCTTTTTTTTATTTTTTTTTTTATTTTTGCTTGTTGCTAATTTATTAAAATGATTTTGTCGTCAATTTATTTACTTCTCTGTTTGGATCGTATATATTAACAATATGTCTGCCGACTTTTGCGTGTAACTGTAAAGGCCCTGGATCTCCAAGTCCTGAGATATCTCTATCTTTTATACTCTAAATCCATGGCTCCTATATTCTTGATTCTTTTGGACTACTCCTCCAAGGAGTACCTTGAAATACCTCAATCTTTTTACTCGAAATCCATACTTTTGGATATCCTTGAGAAGCTTTCTTGGAGTTTTAAGAATTCTTTTATAGGCTAATTCATGGATCTCTGAGTTCCCTTAGATCCCTGACAACTCCTCTATCATCCTATTCTATATTCACAGCAGTTGAATTCTTGAAGGTTCTAGAAAGAGATCGAAATTAAAACCCTCGGTTTCTTTCGAGTTATTTGAACCGTCAAGTTTCTCAATTGCCAAATCGTGAAACCTTCAGATCCAAGATTCTCAAATTTCTACGTCGTAAGATCATCAGGATTTCTTAATCCTTGATTAAAAAAGAGAATCTTAGATCTTGAATAAAATCCAAATTTTGCGAGAAAGAAATTATCAACGTACAAAGGTGATAAAATCTCTCCTATTTCTCGTCATTTAAATATCTTTTTCCTCGCTGGAGATCCTTGGATCCTTCGATCGAGGTCTAAGGATCTTTGGAATCTCGAGAACCGGAAGTTGTTACGCAAAAATTGACGAGACTTTGCAACAACGAGTCTCTCGCTTAGCGAAGACACATTCTCCGTCATTATCTCTTCCCTTTCGTTTCGTTTATCACCCTTTATTATTATCATCGCCCTCGAACTATTATCCTTCTTCTCTATCCTCTTTTCTCTTTATCGCGCGCCGATTTGCTCGAAGATCATCCTCCCACCATCCTGTATTGTGTGTTATAATACATGGAGAGGATGAGAGATTGGGTGAGAATTTTTAGCTCCTCGCGTAAGACTCGCGTGGCTCAACAACGACCGAGAAAAGGACCGCACTTTTCATCTGAAGGAGTCTCGCCACGCAAAACTCGCATTCTTTCTCATCCCACTCTCTCGTCCTTTCTCTCTCACTTTTCCTTCCTCTATTTTCCTGCGTTTATACCTCACTCTTTTTAAGTAATTTCTAACTTACTTTGTATTCGTTATCGTTCCTTTATAAATACATCGCTTCGACATACGGAGCACAATTACTGGCGCCCAAAAATGTTGATACACCGATAGCTCTCTTCAATTCTCCCTAACTTATATGTAATTTTCTTTTAGTCCTTCTTTTACGAGTACATCACTTTCAGATGTATTACAGGGTATTATTACATGTATATATAAACACTCAATTATATAAGTATTATATAATCACTGTTCGAAAAAGTTGGGACACCAATAGCTTATCGTGATGAGTGACTGAAAATGAGCTTCTCGGATACTCAACTTTAAAGGTGCTAATAAACGATGAAACTTTACGGAGTTTCTACGGTTGACAGCTCTTTCTTTGAAGGGTGTCCAAAAACAGGGGAACACCTTAGAGGAGGAGGATCTTCGAGATCTGACTAGCCGATCTCGGCCTACAGGACTTGTAAAAACAGATCTATCGTCACACTCGCTTCTTCAGGTGTGCATCCTCCATTTTTCTTCAAATTCATCATTTCTTCATCTTCTCATAAATAAGTAAAGCGACAAAACGTCGAACGATGAAAAAGGTGTCCCCAAGTGACACTTCAAAGGGTCTTAATCAATATTAAATTCAAATATAATTCCCATAATCCCGAAGTAAAATTGGAATTTAATTCGAGATCTTGTATTAATCGAGATTAAATCCGAATTTAATTCGCATGTTACCGAAATTAAATTCATATTTAACTCGAAACCATGTTAATCGGGATTAAATCCTAATTAAACTGTCGAGTTAAAATTATAAATCTTACTCGATTAATTGAAAATTAAATTTAAATCTAATTCACATCGCGCTAAAAATCGCATCAACTAAGTTTTATCTACGTCCTTTAAATCCTTATCACGAGTACTGTAGTAATAGTATAGTAGTAGTAGTGTAGTAATAGCAGCGATAGTAGTTATAGTTATAGTAGTAGTAATAGTAATAATAGTAATAGTATTAATAGTAGTTTCTTCTTTTTTTTTTAATCCTTTTTCTGCTTAAGCATCTTTTTTTATTCCTTTAAGTTTTCTGATTTCAGATAATCTAACAGACATCTAAAAATAACACCCATTTTTTTGTTTTCATTACTATTTGTATTTTTATTCTCGGTCTCTTCTTTGCTTTCTTCTATCTCAAGCAAGCGT